GTTGGAAGAGTACAGTATCTCAGGGCAGTAGTCTTAGGGATCCCTGTTATCTCAAGCAGTGCAGTAGGTCTCGTGGTGGTGGTGGTTTTTAGTAATTTGAAGTTCTGTTCACATTTGTCTCCCATTCTGTCAAGGTCTGTTGTGACCCTGATTAGAACAGTCAGTCCTGGTAGCCAGGCACCATCTAGTTCTTCTGGTCTCAAGGTAGATGAAGCTGTGGTTTGTAGAGACTACTTGTTCTTTGGACTAGTTTCTTTGAATCTTTGGTTTCCTTCTTTCTCTTTTGCTCTGGACAGATAGAGACTAATAGTTGTATCTTAGATGACCACTCACTGGGGAGAGTCTCTTTGCTGTCTTCTGTGATGACAACTCCATTACCTAGTCTTTGATTTTTCTCTTTTGTGTTTATTCTCTTGTTTTATAGATCAGATCCTTCAGTGGATTCCTAAGAAATAATGACTGTTGTTGTTGTTATGTGCCGTCGAGTCGGCCCCAACTCATAGCGACCCCTCCTTGGATTTCCGAGGCATTATCACTACGGAAGTAGGATTGCCCAACCTTCCTTCTGAGGAGTGGCTGGTGGGTTTGAACCGCCAGCCTTCTGGTTAGCAGTCAAGTGCTTTAGCCACTATGCTACCAGAGCTCCCAGAAATAATGACTGGAAAGTAAAATTCTTAGTGCATGTTTAATTTATAGTGTGTCTAGGTATAAAATTCTAGGTTGGACAGTGTTTTCACTCAGAATTTTGAAGACATTGTTCTATTGTCTTCCAGTTTCTAATGCTTCTGTTAATAAAATTGTAAGAAATTCTGACTCATGGTCTTCGTTTCTGGTTTGCTTTCCCCAGCGTAGGCATTTAAGTTTCAGCTTTCTCTGCTCTTATTTTTGTTAGCCGTAATTACCAGTCATCATCCATGTGCTTTTTTTTCCCTAAAATTGTGTTCATTTTTCCTGTCCCTCTCTCTTTGTTTTTTATGGGTTTACAACCATTTTTATTTCTTTACTGTCATCTGATTGGATTTTAGAAGAGAGTGGAGAGAATTAGAATTGCTGGTATTTACCATGTTTGACTAGAAATCTGATGAAAAGCTTTTTATGAAGATACTTTAAACAAATGTTAATATTCCTATGATTGTTTATCCAGAAACTATAGAAAGTTAATCTCTTCTGTGGTAATACTTTTCATTATCACCATATGTTCTATTAAAAATTCTACTTTTCTCCCCCCTCCACTCCCCATGACATTCCTCCTTGGTTTTTAAAACTTTGAAGAGCCCTGGCAGTGCAGTGGTTAAAGCAGTAGGCTGTTAACTAGGTTGTTGGTTCAAACTCACCAGACACTGCAGAAGAAAGATGTGGTTGTCTGCTTCTGTAAAGGAGCTCTGGTGGTGTACTGCCTAAGGCATTTGTAAATATTTTCAGCCTTTAGAAACTGTTGGGCAGTTCTGCTCCTTCTTCCAGAGTCACTATGACTCAACAGTGGGTTTTTTAGATTGGTTTTAGAACTTACTTTATTATGTTTCAGAATGAGGTAAGTATGGTAAGATTCTCTTCATATCTCTTAAAGGTAGCTAGCATTCTCATTTTAAATAAATGCCTCAACCTGAGTCAGTTTCTGGAGGTCATATCTATGTAAATGGTCCAGGCTTAGAATCTCTTTCTAATTCTGATTCAATAGTCCTTTATCCTCTTTACTTGCAGCTTCATTATTCTTTAACTTACGTATCTTAAACTTTTCAAACATACAAAATAGAGAAAGAGTAATATAATGACCCACCATGTACTTAGCCATTTATCAGCATTTACCAGTCTTTTTTTATTTTCAAATATTCTATTTAATATGATGTTTTTAAAATCTATAATCCTTCAGTATGGATCTCTGATGATAAAAGGACTTAAAAAATAATAATCACAGTGAGATTATTACACCTAATAAAATTAGTAATAGTTCCTTAATAAAATCTATCCCATCCTGTTCAGATTCTCTGGTCTCAGAAATATATTTTTACAATTGTTTTTTTTCAAAATAGGATTCAAACACAGTCCACATTTAGCACTTGATTGTTATGTCTTTTGTCATTTAATCTGTAATAGCCTACCTCTCTTCTTTTCCATGCTATTTTTCTGTTGAAGAAACCAAGTTCTTTATTCTGCAGAACATCCCACATTCTTGATTAGGCTGATTTGTTTTCTTGTGGTGTCTTTTCACTATTCCACTATCCCTCATATTTCCTGTTAACTGGAAATTAGAGGTAAAGGTTTGATTTGATTGCTAGAATACTTCTAGTTGGTACTTGTATTTCCTATTTCTCGAGAGGCAAATAATATTTGTAATGTCCTATTTTTAGTTATACTAAGTGGATACAGCTGTTATCAGCTTGATGCAGCCATTTATAAGTTTCCCATCCACATATTACCTCATTATTCTAGCATCCATTTATGATCACTGCCTAGATGATTTCATTAGCTGTTACACATTTGGTGGTTTTTCTAATTACATCATTCTTTCTACATTTATTACCTGTAATTCTATATAAAGAACTTTCTCTTTTTAGCTATTTGGTTACTTAAAATCAAGAAAGACAAGATTAATGCTTGATCTTTTTCCCTGTTATTTGTCAATTTTCAGGTTAATGAGTTGGTGCCTTTGCACTAGCAACTTCCACTGGTCATTGATGAAAGGCTTTTTTTTAAGTAGCTGTGAACTAGGGCTATTTATATATTTAATGTATTCCATTGAATTGCTGTTATTATTCTTTTTGATGTGGAAATTCATCCATCTTTGGCCAGTAGGAATCCTCTTTTGATTAGAGTCCTTGTGACATGACCCCACTAATCTTTGGTAGCTTCTTTGGTGATTATTGTGGTCCAGGCTCATATTTTACATATCCAGTCCTAGGTATGGAATTGGCCATTTCTCCAAGAAACTCTGATTCTTAATGGAAAGTGGTATTTAGCAACAACAATCTGAGTCACTAAGAGGTTCAGTATTATTGGGTTGTCATATTATTTCTAGGCCTTTTTAATGGACAGAACTGGGAAATACATGTTTTTAGAAAGAAAAAATTCTCAGTTAATACTGACATTTCCAATTGAAGTGTGAGGATTTTTTTTTTTAACTTAGATTATTACTCTTTTATATTCATATGTTGTTTCTCTTGAAAATCTTGGTTCCCAACGATAGTAATAAAATTATTTATGTGCTTTCTTTTCAATATGCATAAGATAATTTCAAAATAACAAAATACCAATGTTTTCTTTGTGGTTATTTTTGCCCTTAGTATATATCTCACCTCAGAGATACAGCCAGAATAAGTGTGGGATATATACTAAGTTTTTCCATTTATCCTTTCATTGTTTCATTTCAAGAATATGCTTATATATTTATATTAACTTCCTTTTCTTTCACAAAAAATGATATACTGTAAAGACTGTTTTTTTTACAGCTTTTTCACTTGATGTTACATCCTAGAGATCACATCTTATTCGTTATATTGGTATCTTCACACCTTTAAAGGTAGTCTGTTGTGTGACCGTATCGGGCAGTCCCATACTGATTCAGTCTTCCCTTTAAATCTCAAGAAACACTTGTATGTGGCAAAAATTTGATACAAGGACTTAGTATGATTGAAAATTTTTAAATATGGAAATCTAGTTCTCTAATATATTCATAAACGAGTGACTGAAAGTTTTCATGAAATGAATTTTACTTATCCAAGCTCCCCAATTTATTTTTAAACTTGAACATTTTTTATGGAAAGTTTTTCAATGCATTATATACTATTACACAGTTTAACCATTTTAGCTATAATAAAGGATGTCATTATTACTGTATTTAAATCGAATATTCTGTCCTTTTCAATATTTCTGTCTTCTCTGAATAGCAGGTATTTTGTCATGTTTACAGTCTGATGTTCCCAAATCAGTGCAATTCTCATGTGATTTTTATCTCTGCGTTTTCAGGGCATTAGGCTTATGTATAAGGAGCTCTAGTGGTGCAGTGCCTAAGGCTTACCAAGAAGGTTGGCAGTTCAAACCCACCAGCCACTCCACGGAAGGAAGATGAGGCAGTCTACTTCTGTAAAGAGTTACCGCCTCAGAAACCCAGTGGGGGTTGCTGTGAGTCAGAATTGACTTGATGGCAGTAGATTTGGTTTTTTTGGTTAGTCTTATGTATATATGAAAGACAAAGTTACAGAAAGTCTAATACTAGTATGAATGATGTTTTACTTCAATGTATACTAAACTAAAAATAAATTTTTTTCATTGAGAAAACAGTGCATATTTGTCTTTAACTTTTTACTTTTGTAAATTTTACAATATATGATAATTACTATTCCCTTATTGATACTAATATTCTCTCTGATTCAGATGCTCTGCCTTATTCAATACGGGTCCTGTTGGAAGCTGCTGTACGGAATTGTGATGGTTTTTTAATGAAAAAGGAAGATGTTATGAACATTTTAGACTGGAAAACCAAACAAAGCAATGTCGAAGTGCCCTTTTTTCCTGCCCGTGTTCTTCTTCAAGATTTTACGTGAGTGATGTTTATTTTTCAAGAATGACTTTTCAGAAATTCCCCTTTTTAAAATTCAGGCTAATTGATATTTGGCTCTGTTGTTTTTTGTTCTGTTTCCAGTTGTAAAGGGTAGTTTAGAAAACTGCCCTTTCTGAACTGAAGCAATTCATTAGAAAGTAGGCACCCATTTCTTATGCCATTTTTCAGAAATTGCTTTTCCTACATTGCCTACTTTGTCATCTCCATGTAACTGTCTAATAGACTTCTGAAACTTGATGTATCCAGAACTTGATATCCCACCCCTACCTCATCTATTCTTTTCCAAGTCTTCTCCATCATAGTAAATAATGCCATTTTCCTCCCATTTGTTTAGGCCAGGAATCTATGAATCGTCATGATTCCTTTCTTTCATACTCTGTAGACAATGTATCAGCAAGTTTTATCTGTTGTACTTTTGAAATATGTCCTGAGTCCAAATACTTATTAGCTTCTCTACTACTACCCTCTTGGTTCTAGTCACCATTTTCTCTTGCCTGGATTACAGCTGCAATAATCTTTTAACTGATACTACCGTTTCTGCGCTTGTGATCTATAGTTTGTTTTTTGCACAGTAGATGGAGCAACTGTGTGAAAATGTTAACCAGGTCATATCATTCCTCTTTTTTAAATGCACCAGGTGTCTTTGATCACAATTAGAATAAAATCCAAACTCATTACTATACCCTGAAAGACCTTGCCTGATCAGGGTGTCTGGGGATTATTTGCTGGAAGAGTTAACTTTGAGCTGAGTTTTGAAGAAAACATAAGAGTTAACTAGACAAATAAGAACATTCTACATACCTACCTCCCAAACCTGGTTTGTATGCCACTGCTCTGGGTACCCTGTATATGCTGCTAGTATGATACTTGTGATACTATTTGTATCTTACAAGTTCCTTGAGAGTAGGAATGATGTCTTCTTTGACCTTGTACACATTGAAGACCTTTGGTAAATGTTTGTTATATAATTGGGTGGCTGAATATAAAATAACAAAAAGCTTTTGAGGTAGCAGAAGGGGGCTGGAACTAATGAAAAAGAAATTATCATAAAATTCAAGGCTAGAGAAAAAGGATTCAAGAAGCAGTTCCCTTGAAGTTCTCTTGTGCCTCAGAAAATCATCTCTTGTGTTATTTTGGCACATCTTCCCCCTTGAGAACTCTAGTTCTCAGATGATATTTAATATTAATTTTCATTAAACTAGATAGATCTAACTTTGGAGAACTAGTACATTATCAAACATGAATGCAAACTAAAAAGGGATACTTTTAAATATAAAAATGAGTAAATATGTATTAATCATTTATTAAGCATATATAAAAGAAGAATTAGAACTGTAATTGGATCATTCTTTATTTTATAGTGGAATACCAGCAATGGTGGATTTTGCTGCTATGAGGGAGGCAGTGAAAACCCTTGGAGGTGATCCTCAGAAAGTCCATCCCGCCTGTCCAACAGATCTCACAGTTGACCATTCTTTACAAATTGACTTCAGTAAATGGTATTTTGCAGATACTTGTAAAGACAGCCATGCAAGTTAACTGGTAGCCATCCTCCTGGAAGTATATGATTTAGCAAAAAGGGAGATCATATTTGTCAGTGTAAAATAATGCTGCATTTAATATTGACTAGTGTATGAAAATAAAAACTGTGGTAAAAAGTTTATGAATTGGTGAATTTTGTTATACTTAGTCTGAGTTTAAAGTTATTTTTATGTTTGTATATGTGTTTCTGCTGTCATATTTGACAGAAATGTATGAACTAAGGCCTGCTTTTTTGGAGGGGATATCTAATTCAGTCTTCATTTCCCTTTTTTTTTTTTTAATAAGTCCATTTATTTTTCATAGGGAAACTAAAGATGTGAGTGGTGAATGTCTAATTAATTGCTGATACTGAGCCCATTAGAGCTCTACTTTCCCTAAATAAACTGAAATAAGTTCTTATATTTTTAAAGTCCCCTTTTTTAAGGTCAAGCTAGAGAAGACGTGTTTCTGTTTTCATACACTAGCTGTCTTTTACTTTCTCTACAGTAACAGAGTAAGACTGCAATTTATTGTAACTCATGATAGGTTTTCTCTCTAGATTAAAGCTTATGGCTCTCAGCTTTTTAAAGTTGTTAGATGGAAACAAAACTCTTATTTCAGTACTTATGAAAAGTTATTTAAATTGTTATAGAAGTATATGAAATGATTCTATTGGGCACTTAGAATTCTGTTTTTGTCTCCTTACTTTTAAGTTAGTTTTTCTTAAATATATAATCTGAGGTTTGCTTTTGATACCTAAATTATATATTACCCTTTGAACATTCAATCAGTTACTTCCAGATAGCATTGCTAGTGTGCATTTTTTTGAAGAGCTAAAGTTCTGACACTTTAAATTGTTGTATTTGTTTCCTTTTTGGAATAATAGTGCAATACAGAATGCTCCAAATCCTGGAGGTGGTGACCTACAGAAAGCAGGAAAACTCTCTCCACTTAAAGTGCAGCCTAAGAAGCTTCCCTGCAGAGGCCAGACTACCTGCCGAGGATCATGTGATTCTGGAGAACTGGGCCGAAACTCAGGAAAATTTTCCTCACAGATTGAGAACACACCCATTCTGTGTCCTTTTCATTTGCAACCAGTGCCTGAGTATGAAATTCATTTTGTTACTATTTATTAGCCAGACTGTGTTTTTGTTATAGAAATCATATTCCCACCCACCCCGCATGCCTGTTATACTGCCTTTATATTTACTCCACTGAATTGGGTATTAATACCTATTTCCTATTATTCTGAAAGAAACAAAGTTACTTAAAATGGTAGTCTCTATCTAAATACCAGTATTTATTTATGTTCCTTAGAAGGAAAATCTTTCTTTAGATTTATCTCTAAATACATTTTATTTACATTTAGGCAGAAAAACGTGATTTCATCTTAAACTATATTTTTTAACTTTGTGAATTCATACCATTTTTCACATGCTTATTAGCCATTAGTATTTCTTTTGTGAATTCCCTACTTATACTTTGCTTTTCCTACAAGGGGGTCTCAAATATTTGTAAATTGCATTAAGAGCCTTCTGTGTGTTAAGAATATTATTGTATATGTTTGATGAGTCCTTTTACATAAATGATTATCTGCATAGTACCATAGAGTGTAACCTGCCTAGGAAAAAAACTTACTTTGTTTTGGTTAGATTTCCTAACAGGTAATTTTTCAAAATAAGAAAAATTATTTTATGGCTTGAATTTTTATATGTTACAGCGTTTCCAAAACAGTTTACCTTTTGAATGAGAAGCTATTAAAGTCCTTAAACTTTTTTAAGTTGGAAAAAATGAGCATATTTAAGACTTAAAATAGCTAAGAATAGTATCCACATGTTGTGTTGTAGTTAGGTGCCATCAAGTCGGCTTTGACTCATAGTGACCATTTGTAAACAGAACGAAACACTGCCCAGTTGTGCACCATCCTCACAATCCTTGCTATACCTGAGCACATCATTGCATCCACTATGTCAATCCATCTTGTCGATGGTCTTCCCCTCTTCGCTGACCTTACACTTTACCAAGCATGATATCCTTCTCTAGAGAATGGTCCCTTCTGACAACATTACCAAAGTAGGTGAGATGAAGTCTGGCCATTCTTGCTTCCAAGGAGCATTCCGGCTGCACTTTTTCCAGGACAGATTTGCTCGTTCTTCTGGCAGTCCATGGTACTTTCAGTGTTTTTTTGCCAACACCACCACTCAAAAGCATCAACTCTTGTTCTTTCACATGCATATGAGGCTATTGAAGATACCATGGCTTGAGTTAGGCACACCTTAGTCTTCAAAGAGGTGCTCTGGTGGCATAATAGATAAGGAATTTGGCCGCTAACCAGAAAGTCAGCAGTTCAAACCTACCAGTCACTCTGCGAAAGGAAGATGAGGCAGTCTACTACTTCCTTAAAGATTTATCACCTCGGAAACCCAGTGGGGTTGCTGTGAGTTGGAATTGACTCAATGGTAGCAAGTTTGTTTGTTGTGTGTGTCTTCAAAGAGACATCTTTGCTCTTCAGCAAAGAGGTCTTTTGCAGCAGATATTTCATCCTAAATGCCAAATAATAAATTAATTCATTTGTCCCTGAACGGAATCTTTCAAGTCCTGTCTAGTTCTAAAATTTTGATCTCAATATTTCTATAAAGCCTCAGGGTTTATAGTGACTCATGCTCTTCCTTTCTAAGAATCCAGTATAATCTGTGGGTTCTTTGCCATCTAATTATAATTTTGATTGTTTTAGTAATCACTCCTTTTTTTCTGCTGTCTGCTTGTCATTATCAGGCATGTTAACTTCTGAGATTAACATCTCATATAAAGAAATCAGTATCCTAGAAAGATCTATTGATTCAAAAAGCATTGATTTTCTTGTTAGTCTTTTCATAACTGGCAGAGTATGAAGTGCTTAAGTGGTGTATTTTTATTTATGAAAATCCAGTTTGGTGTAACATTTCCCCTCAATTTTGGCTTTAAATTGTAAAGTATTAAGATGGGTTATATTGACTTTGTGAAAATAGTAACTATCTTTTGTGTTCCTTAATGCATCAAAGAAGTGTTAATTATATGCTCAAACAAGAAATTGAGGAATAACAAGTTGAGAGCATAACATTTAACACTTGAAATCATTACCTAATTGGAAGTAGGCTTATAAATTAATAAATGTTTGTATGGCACTTTGTAGACATAAATGCTAGGAGAAGGGAAAATAATCACAGTGGTTCTGGAAGAACACGTTCCCTGAGGTCCTGAGAGAAATTTCACTAAGATGTGGTATGACTTAAAACGATCACTCAGCAATGAATTATTAAAGTAGACTTTTTGTTTTTTAAAATACAGCTTTTTAAACTAGAATTATCTGGACCCTGGAGGACCTTTAAATATAACTTATGCTGATATTCCAGTCACCAGCTGGCAGGTGAAATAAAGAATTTAATAATTCATGTAAACTGTATAATCCATGTAAAATGCCACTTGTATGTAAAGTGGCCTTTTAGGTGAGATGAAAAGATTTTTGCAACAAGTTCATTTTAAACTATAAAATGATGTTGAGCTGTGTGTCATTGCAACATAGCAATAATTCTTCATGTAATCAACCCCCATTTCCAGTTCAGTTGTTTAACTGGAATAAGAATGAAGTAGGTAGAAATGTACATGCATATTATTACCGTCTTTCCTTGCAACGTGAAACTCAACAAAGCTTACGATTTTATTTTTCTCGTGATTTTAGCCAAATATTAAAACAGTGAAATCCATGATTTTGGACTTGATTATACCTAGTAAAATAATAATTCACTACTTTCTACTGTATTATTTAAAGTAGAACTTCTTTGTTGGAAAAGAAAACCACTGATTCTAAAAAGTCTAGTAAGTTGCTTTTCCAGGCATTTTTTAAAAACATGTTTGTATATTTGTGCATAAAAACGAAGACTTAGAAAGACATAAGGCATATCTTTCCTGTAATACATACACTTAATGTCAGCTTTTCTTCCTTTTAGACCTGAAACAGCGTTAAAAAATCAAGAAGTAGAATTTGGCAGAAATCGAGAAAGGCTTCAATTTTTCAAGGTATAAATAATTTAGGGGAAATTTTGTGTAGAAATTTATAAAAATATTAATAGGTGTGATTTTTATATCTTTAGACTAGTGGGGTTTTTTTAAAGAATTTATAGCAATAAAATCCTTTCATTTCCCCAAATAAAATCCTACTGGGAACTCCAGTGTATTGAAAAAGAATGACACTAGGTAAGTGAGTATGGCCTTTACACTGGGCCCTCCCTTCTTTCCATCCCTGTGAATCCATGGAACACAGTTGGAACATTATTTATCTGGACTGTTTGAATATTTTTCTTATACACATTTAATTTTATTCTAATCTGCAAAGTTAATAAATTTAGGTTTAGTATCAACATATTTGTCTTAATGTATGTACTATAAACTTGGAATTGACTATACTGAACTTCAAGTAAGACAGTTTTAGTGTTGCTATTTATATCTTATATGCACAAATTCATAAAATGTACTAACTCTTGTATTTCTTAAACAAAATATAGTGGAGTTCAAGAGTTTTTAAGAATGTGGCTGTAATCCCTCCTGGAACTGGAATGGCACATCAAGTAAACTTAGAATATTTGTCAAGAGTGGTTTTTGAAGAAAAGGACTTCCTCTTTCCCGACAGCGTAGTGGGCACAGATTCTCATATAACCATGGTGAATGGTTTGGGGATTCTGGGATGGGGTAAGTAAATGACCAAATGTATTTCATTTATTTTTAGGACAGGGATGTGAGAAAACATTAAAGAACATAAATAGCAGGTCTTTATGGCCTCTTGAGACTGTTTTGTTATCTATGATAGACAGCAGCAACACAGATTAAAAATACTTAGGGTTTTATAAGCTATGTGGTAAAAGAGGATTTATGAAAAGAAATTTGCCCACTACCATTTGTGGAGTGATGATGATGATTTTTATGAAGGTAGTGTGGTTACTCCCTTGTTTAAAGTCCTTTAGTGGCTTCTCTTGGCCTTCTTTACATATCTTAATTCTTTAGTAACAGGCATAGTAAGCATTCAGTAAATGTTTGTTGTTGTGCTGTCAAGTCGATTCAGAGCAACCCTATAGGACAGAGTAGAACTGCCCCATAGGGTTTCCTAAGCTATAATCTAGGGGAGCAGATTGTCAGATCTTTTTTCCACAGAGCAGCTGATGAAATTGAACCGCTGATCTTTTGGTTAGCAGCTGATTGCTTAACCATTGTGCCACCAGGGCTCCTTCAATAAATGTTTACTGAACTTAATGTAAAAATTGGTTTTACAACCATCTGAGTGGTGTCACTTTTGAGAAGGCTTGGGTTCGTTATCTACACAATAATAGCAATGTAGCAACTCTGTGTAAGATACTGTGTAAGCAAGGTCATAAAGCATCTAGAAATTTAGAATTTACAAAGTTAAATTACCTTTAAATATACTGTACTAATGTACCTGTCTATTATTTTAGGAGTTGGAGGCATTGAAACTGAAGCAGTTATGCTTGGTCTGCCCATTTCTCTTAGTTTACCAGAGGTGGTTGGATGTGAGTTAACTGGGTCATCAAATCCTTTTGTTACATCCATAGACATTGTTCTTGGCATTACAAAGGTAAGTTAAAGTTGTGGTTGACTATATGACATAGTGGACTCTACTTTTATTTAAGTTTAGAAGCCCTGCAGGAGCAGGATTACAGTTCATCACAAGATCCTTAGCACTCTGACATTATTAGCCACATCATGATACTTACATCATCGTGATAACTACAAACATAAAACATTTTCTACTGGTAAAAAAAAATTTGTTGTGTCGCTGTTCACTTGACATACATTAATTCATTTATTTCTTAGTATAAGCATATGAGATAGCTACTGTTATTCTCCCCATTTTAAATCTGAAAAATTTGAGGCAGAAAATGATTTGATGACTAACCCAAGGTCATAGATCTGAATAGTAAGTGGTAGAACAAGCATTGTAATCGAAGTGGCCAGATTCTTTGTTTCATGCTGTTAACTTAATGCCTTATATTATCAGTAAATGCTTGTTGACTGCATAAATAAAAAACAGTATCTTACTTAGCAAAAGTCTGATTGTATCCCTTTTAATAATATTTACTTGAATCATTTGTCCTTTAGAAACTATTACTCCACTAGATAATACTTTCAAAAATATGGACTGTAAAAATAGGCTAGTGTCAAATTTTTGTATTTGCTGTATTGATATTTCTTTGAAGTACTGTATAGAAACTTTTTCTCTGTATTTTTTAAATACTGGTTGCATGCTCTCAGTACATACATTCACAAGTTTCCTAGGGAGCAATAACTAGTAACTCCATCCTAAATTTCTCATTCTCACTAACTTTATTATGATTAAGTGCCGTTTTGTTAGATGAACAATCCTGGTAAATGTTCCATATATAATTCCACTTTGGATCCCGAATCTCAGCATTGTTTGTTAGATAATTGATCTGGAGGCTTTCAGGATACCTCTTAGGGAAGGAAATGGTAATCCCTTTGTGATGGTTATGTTTGTATGTCAACTTGGCTAGGCCTGGTTGAGTGGCTGGGCAGCTGGATATAGTATTCCCCATGATGAGACTGGTAATCAACTCCATGGTGGAATCTACTAGGAGCAGCTGAGTAGCTGCCTTTGGGTATGTGGTCTGCTTCCTGTATATAAGGAGAAGCTTTGAGAATGGTCTCTAGCCTATGGCACGCTTGGACCCTGCTGTAGCAACTGTCTGAGTAAAGAAATGCCTCTAGCTCCAGTGGGCCGGGAGCAGGAGGCAGAGCTGTCACCCATCCCCTAGAACCTGGCACTTTGAACTTGGACTTAAAACCTCCAAACTGTAAGATTAAACTCCTGTTTGTTAAGGCCATCCCATTTGTGGTATATTTCTTGTCAGAGCAGTACTAGGTAACTAGAACAGAATTGGGTATCAAGAGAGTAGGGTGCTGCTCTGACAGATAACTAAAATGTGGAAATAGGAGTGGAGTGCGTCCTGGACCCAAGACCCTGGCATATGGCAGGACAGATGGCAGGACAGACGGCAAGAGACCGGCATGAGAGACGGCAGGAGCAGAGCCAAGAGAACTGGCATGAGACAGCGACAGCATTACCAGCCCACAGAGGAGAAAGCTTGATGCTTGATGCCTTTGTTTAGGCAGCTTCCTGGCGGAGTGGGTTGCCTTTGGGCATTAATTGGTAGAGAAGACCGGCATAAAATGGGGTAGCAGGTTTGGCCGGCCCACAGAGCAAGAAAGCTGAGTGTTTTTAGGGCAGGAAGATTTTCTGCAGAGTGGGTTGCCTTCGGCATTAATCGGCACAAGCGGAGAGACCAAGGAAATGGAAGTAGAGCTGCCTCAGCCTTAAGGGTAGGACCATGGCCTTTGGGGGTGGAACGACCACAGTTTCCTAGGTTTCAAAGAGCCAGGCCTTCACCAACTTGGTTCTGGAGTGTGAGCCAGTGAGATGGAGCCATAGCCGCTGTCCAAGAGTGAGGGGGCGGGGCTGCCATGGCCAAGAGGGAGAGGAGCAGGGCCTGTTTCTAGGCCAAGAGGGTGAGGTCACTATTCAGGAACTAGGGGACTGGAGCCACCCAGTGGAGAAGACGTGTGCAGATACCACCCACTGAAGATCTGTACAGGTGCCAAGTTGACAAGGGGTGGAATTATGATGGTTATGTTTGTATGTCAGCTTGACTAGGCCTGGTTGAGTGGCTGGGCAGCTGGATATAGTATTCCCCATGATGAGACTGGTAATCAACTCCATGGTGGAATCTACTGGGAGCAGCTGAGTAGCTGCCTTTGGGTATGTGGTCTGCTTCCTGTATATAAGGAGAAGCTTTGAGAATGGTCTCTAGCCTATGGCACGCTTGGACCCTGCATGCAGCCGTGTCGTTTGCTCAGCAGCCTGCTATGCTCTGCCGACCTTGGGACTTAAAATGGACTTAAAATGGACCTGCCGTGTGGTAACATCAGGACTGTGCCTTTTTTACTTGTCAACCTTGGGGTTTCTCAGCCTCAGCAGCCAGCTGCTGTCTGAGTGAAGAAATACCTCTAGCTCCAGTGGGCCAGGAGCAGGAGGCAGAGCTGGACCCCAAGGTTGAGGGGCTGTCACCTAGCCCCTAGAGCCTGGCACTTTGAACTTGGACTTAAAGCCTCCAAACTGTAAGAGATTAAACTCCTGTTTGTTAAGGCCATCCCATTTGTGGTATATTTCTTGTCAGAGCAGTTCTAGGTAACCAGAACACCCTTTATCAAAATACAGTATTGATTATTTTTCCCTAATAGAAAAAATTTTGACATCTTAGAGAAGTGATTGATGAACTAAGTACATGTTACCAAAAGGTAAAGAAGTTAAATTGAGAATTGCAGGATTATCCCTAAAGGAAAAGGAGTATCCCATGATGTTTTTAGAGAAATCGATTCTTCTGACATCCTGAAAATTAATACTGCTTTTTAGATTCCTCTGGCTATGTTTTTCTTCCCATCAGCCACTCCTTGGAAGGAAGGTTGGGCAATCTACTTCCATAGTGATACCGCCTCGGAGACCCAAAGAGGGGTCACTATGAGTCGGGTCTGACTCGACGGCACATAACAACAAAAACAACAACATGTTTTTCTTAATATTATTGCCATTTTTGCTTACTGATTCAAAAATCTAATGTATTATGTATGTTTACTCTTACTGTATATTTTTCTGTTTTTTTTTTTTTTTAAGTTTATTTTGTTGTTGTTAAGAATATTTAACCGTCTCCATGTACAATTTAGTGATAATCATTACATTCTTCAAGTTGTACAGCCATTCGCACCCTCCTATTTCAAAGATGTTAAAATATGACTCTAGGCCATCTTGAGCTTTCAGGTACTTTTCTACTTTGATTAAATGAAATTTAAACACTGTTCTGTTGACTATTTTAAAATACCCACAAAACCAGAATAATTGATGTTTCATAAGAACAATAATGGATATCTTTTCTTAACTGTCACTTGTTGTTGTTGTTTGCCGTCGAGTCGGCCCCGACTCATAGTGACCCCTCCTTGGGTTTCCGAGGCAGTATCACTACGGAAGTAGTAGATTGCCCCATCTTCCTTCCGAGGAGTGGCTGGTGGATTTGAACCGCCAGCCTTCTGGTTAGCAGTCAAGTGCCATAGCCACTATGCTACCAGAGCTGTCACTAGGATTGGTTAAAACTTATAGACTTTATAGTTTCCCAGGGAATCCATGCTAATCTTAGCCTTGCTAGTTTTGTCTGTGTTTGTTTATGTCCCTTTTTATAGCACCTCAGGCAAGCAGGAGTGGCTGGAAAGTTTGTTGAGTTTTTTGGAAATGGAGTTTCACAATTATCTGTAGTTGATCGAACTACAATAGCAAACATGTGTCCAGAATATGGTGCTATCCTCAGCTTTTTCCCTGTTGACAATGTGACATTAAAACATTTAGAATATACAGGTAAGATGATTTAAGATAAATATATTTCCAATGTGTCTGTCTGATGATTTTTATAATAAATCACTACCTTGTTATTTAATATTCATGAATCTCTTATTTTGAAACATTGGCTTTCAAACTGCCTCAGATGTCTTTAGAGAGAGTGTTGTCCTCAAACCCTAGTCCCTGTGACCCATTTACAGCTATTTAAAAGACGTATTCAAAATTACTGATCTTTGCCTCACTTTTTCTCCATTAGTGATAGCTATTTTCACTTCTGCTTAGGGATCAGAGTTTGCAATTTAAAGGAAGTCAGTCATGAGCATGTTCATAGCTATTCCCTCCTGTATACCCAGGAGTAAAGAAGACATCTGACAAAAGGGTTTGGGAATCAGTGCTCTGACTTAAAGAAAAAGAAGTACATGTTTTTGTGAAAAGAAATGTAGAGTTATAGGTTCTAAATCTTTTTGTAGTTTGATTATTATAAAGTTTCACCACTCTTCTGTTGATTAATTTAAAATAGGAAAAAATCATGTTTCATAAGGCTGCTATTCTTTAAAAAGTAGGATCTCATCTTTATTTAATCTTTTTTTTTTTAAATAAACTTTAGAGCTGTTCATCTCTAATGATATGTGTATTTTTGTGGCGTATTCTAGCATTCTTCAGCTTGAAGGTAGATTATTGGAAGTTCGTGAGTCACGTGGCAAAATATATGAGTAGTCGTTTGGAACCCTGGAGTGAATGGTTCCCATATAATACAAAGCTTTCTGTTAATCTGGATTTTGGTTGATAGAATGTTTAAGAGAGCAGTGGGGTAGAGATGCCTTATTGCATACATATTAATCTAATGTATTAGTGATTGATTGCTTTATAACAAATTATCCTAAAGCTGAGTAACTTAAAACAACAATAATTTATTATTGAGTCAGTAACACAGAGGGAGCAGCTTATCTCTGCTTCATGATGTCTGGGTCATCAACTCAAAGACTTCAAAGCTAGGGCCTGAAATTATGAAGGCTTGTTCACTTACATCTCTGGTAGGTAGTGCTGGCTGTCAGCAGGGGGCTCATGTGAGGCTTTCAGCCAGAACACCCACATGTGATCTCTCTTGGTGGACTGGGCTTTCTTACAAAATGGTGACTTTTCAAGGGTAAGCATTCTAAGAAAAAAATGCCAGGTGGAAATCACATTGCCTTTTATGACTTAGCTTCACAATTCACACAGCATTATTTCCACCTTTTGTGGAGGCCTGGAAATGTCTGCTCATGTCCAAGGGGAATGAACATAGATGTCACCTCTTGATGAATGAGTGTCATCATGACATTATAAGAACATACAAGGTGGAATATATATCGTGGCCATCAAAGGAAAATACAGTCTGCCACAGTTAGTTGTTCGTTTTCATCAGACTTACACATAACTACCCAAGTGTTTAATTGAAACTTTAAAAATTGCTAGCATCTAACAATTTAAATCTTTTAATTTCTGGAAAATCTTGTTAAATCTCTTTATTTTTCTTTTCTATGAAACTATTTTTATCTTTTATTTCATTTTTACTGTTACATTAATGTTACTTGCTATTTAGGGATAAGTGGTGAATTTTTGCCTTTATGGCTAGTAGTAGTTTATTTTGTTGAGTTTCATTTTTGGTTTTTATTCTGCAAACAGTATTTTTTAGTGAGTTTTATTGAACTGGCTTAGTATTCATTATTGTGTCTATGGTCAAATAACTTTTAATGGGAGCCAGTGGTATGTGTTTTGTAAAGTTACATGAAACGTAAAGTTATTACTACTTCAGAGGAAAATATAAAGTACTAATTTGTAAATAAATGAATTCTAAATACTTAATAATATGGAATCTTTGTTTTCTTGCTCATCATTGGAATTCAGCACCCTAACCTCTGAAGATTTCAAATATTCCTTACTGGATTTCTTTTTGCTCATCATCTTTTTAGGTTTTGACAAAGCCAAACTAGAGTCAATGGAAACTTACCTTAAAGCTGTGAAATTGTTTCAAAATGATGAGAATTCTTCAAGAGAACCTGAATATTCCCAGGTATCCAAAATAATCTATTTAGTAGTAGTTAAAAGTATAAATTCTGGAGCCTGACCCCCAGGGGTTTGAATCTTCAGTTCTGCCACTTACTGGCTATGTACCTTGGGCCGTTTATTTAGCCTTTCTGCTTCAATTTTCTCATGTGTAAAATATGAGGATAATAGCTGCCTCATTCTTAAGGGGCTCTAATCACATAGTAAGTGCTCAGTAAGTGTTAGCTATTATTACTTTTAACAATATGTTAATTGTGACCCAGTAGTTTGGTTTTATTTGTTAATTTTACACAGGCTTTTATTGCAGTGAATTTTAGGCTTGCCTTTTTTTTTTCCCCCAGTATTTAAAATAAGCAGTTTAATTTATCTTTTTTTTTTTTTTAACTTTATGATAAGAATACTAAAATATCCTCCCCAAAATACTTGTTTCCACAATGTCTACATCTAGTTGATGATTATATTTTGCAAAATTTCCACTACTGTCAAAGGAGATTATATGATTATACAGTCTTAAATGTTAGTTTTAAATATATTTTATAATGCAACAAAGTATTATCTGTTGGAAATTTATATTTGTATTAAAGTGCTAGGTAGAATTCACTTTTAGAAAGTCTTAATTTTAATAAAAGTCATTTTCTAGAGGGGTTGGCAAAGATCTAAAATAATTTTTCTTATCATAAGCCTGATTAATTATAAAACTGTTCTTTAGGGAAATCTATCTTCTCATCCAACTTTATTTTGCTTTATTACATGTATCATTACCTATCATTAATAATTTGTATATACCGACTCTTCACTTACTGACAGAGACCAAATCATTATGCAAAAATGAAGGATGACAACGACATTACATAACTGCCAAACCACTGAGAATCATGGCCCAGCCAGGTTGTCACATAACCTTAACCATCACAACCACCATTACTCAGCCTTGCACCTCAGTATTATTGCCAGATATACATTGTTAATGTGCAGAATAGTTGGATAGTAGGTTTTTTTACCATTGTCACAGTGTGAAATGTTAGATAACAAGACAGTCAAATGAGGAGTAGGTGTACTTGTTTTTGGTCCCCCAGTAAGAATACAGGTAACTCTGTGAAGACAAGAACTGTTTTGTTGGGCATTCTATCTCTAGCTCCTAAAACAGTCCCTGACATGTAGTAGGTATTCAGTAAGCAGGTGGGAAAAACAGTATAATATAGGCATATTAAAGACCAACATAGAACCTATAGAAATTGAATTTATGTGACACTCCAGGCAAGTCTTTTAAGTTCTCTGATAATTTTCTAAAATCCCTTGTAGTTCTGTTTATTGAATCTAGTAATTTGTACACATTTCAAAAAAAAAAAAAATATGGAAATAATAAGAAAAGCTAAATGGAAAAAATTTTAGTTTAGAATAAAATGGAATAAATTTGCCTATTAAAAAAACTGACCAGATTAAGGGAAAAAAAATACTAAAACCCATCAGAACTCTTTAAATACATATTTAAAGGCAAATATTAGGATCACCTGACTCTATCAAATGGAAGTATAAGAAAAGCTGATGTCATAATCAATTAGAATAAACAGGGCTGTTAAATAATTGTGAATGTTATAGTGAAGAGAATCTTAGTTTGGATTGATTATAGCCCAAGTAAAATGCACAAAGGAAAATGTGAAGAAATAGAAACATAGTAGAGAAGTGAAGTTATTTCAACCAAGGAATACAAGCACGATCTGTAAGAACCTGAATAGCAAGACACCTTAGCACCAACCTCACCTCCTGCCATGTCCTTCCAGTACCCTCTACTGACAGGTTTAGCATCATATGATCTGACAAAGGGGAAATGCTTTTACTAGGTCCATCTCCATTATCACAGAGCAGATAAAGAGGGGTGAATGTTGAGCTCAGCAGCAGTAATTTGGTAGATAGCTGGTACAGGCATCTACTTTATCATTAGATGTCTGTTAAGATGATACTTACCTTTGTGGGGAGAAATATTTAGGAACCCAGAAATTATATAGACTAAATAGTTGGTATTGTGGTAGTTTGCATAATGATCTGCTAATCTTGCTTTTAGCGAATTTTAATGTTATGTTTCATAGGAGCTCTGGTAGCGTAGCGCCTAAGGCATTTGACTGTTAACCAGAAGGCTGGCAGATCAAACCCACAAGCCACTCAGAGGAAGGAAGGTTGGGCAGTCTATTTCCATAGTGATACCACCTCAGAAACCCAAGGAGGGGTCGCTATGAGTTGGGTCAAACTCGATGGCACATAACAACAACAACAATATATAGTTGGTATTGTGGTAGTTAGCATAATGATCTGTTAATCTTGCTTTTAGCACATTTTAATGTGATGTTTCATAAGTTTAAATGGGCTTGTTTTAAAATCTTTATTTCTAGTGTATTTTTCACTATTAAATTACGTTAAAACGTGAATATATTCTGCTTTAGAAAGTAATGCTTGAATTGAAATCTTTAGTTGTAAATTCTAATGCCTTTTCTTTCTCCTTTCTCATTCCTAGGTAATTCAGATTAATCTGAATTCAATAGTTGCATCTGTCAGTGGTCCAAAAAGACCTCAGGATAGAGTTGCTATAACAGATATGAAAAGTGATTTCCAAGCTTGCTTAAATGAAAAGGTAGATTGCTATCTTTATCAAACTACTTATTTGTCCTAATTATACTGTGAAGAACCAATAGTGTAACCTATTAACTTGGTCTGCTGTTAGGATTATTTGTTAACATATTATGTCACATACCAGCAGCCCTGTCTTTCCTTTGTCCAATATAAGTCAGTAATTTGATAACCTTATTCCCACTTTCACTGTGAGAATTAGAGGTTGATTATGACTATTTAAATTAATTAAAATTTAATAAAGTTAAAAATGGAGTTTCTTAGTCATAATAGCCTTCTTTCATGTGCCGAATATAGCCACATATAGCTATGACTCCATTGTATTGGTAGCACAGATCTGGAACATTTCCACAGAAAGTTCTGTTAGCACTGTTTTAGATTTTTGTGACTCACCAGACTAGAAGGAAAACTAACAACAACAATGAAAGCTATACTGTACTGTAATTACACTAATAAAATCTAATAGCATATAACTAAGTAACAAGTGACCCCTTGGCATTTGGGGTTAAATTTTCTTTTTTGTCTGAGGATAATGACTTCACTGTTGTCACTTTCTCTATATTCTGTCTTAAGAATTAATAGTTTGGTTTTCTTTTCAGATTCTTTTTCTGCTTTTTATTGTGGAAATGTCAAATTTGTACAGAAGTGAAACAGTGTAATAAATTCCCATATGTCTACCACCCAGCTTCAACCATTATTAAATCACAGCCAGTTTTATTTTATCAGTTTACATACACATATACCTACACATTGGTGTGGTATTTTGAAGCAAATCTTCAGGACCATTTTTGACCAAAAAAAAAACAAAAGTGCCATCTCATAAGAATTACTTCAACCAAGAATGAATAGAGAACACTGAATCTAGATAAGATGTGGATCCTAGGTAGTTGGCTGGACTAACTCAGTAGACTAAAAAAAAAAAACTTTTCTTATAAACACCAGACTCCCACCATGACTATTCAGATTCCTGCTTCAGCTCAGTTACAGCTACTGAATGTCAGACTTTTCGTGTCACTCACAAATAGTCAGAACTTTGCATATTTAAGTCTTTATATGCCAGGTTCTGCTGATTTTCTACCATTTTTTCTGTATGTATCTAGAATATTTATATTTATATGCATATTTATATAGGTTGGATTTAAAGGCTTCCAAATTGCAGCTGAAAAACAAAATGATGTCATCTCTATTAATTATGAAGGAAGTGAATATAAGCTGTCTCATGGGTCTGTGGTCATTGCTGCAGTTATCAGTTGTACCAATAACTGTAATCCATCTGTCATGCTTGCTGCAGGTAGGTTGTGGTTTATAACCATACATTTTTCTTTGCTAAACTAGTTATGCTCTTTTGTATAAGTACCAATGTCTTTATTTGATATGAGAGACTTTCTAAGATTTTAAGTAGACCTTAAGGATGCTGGAGTTGGTTTATGTTACTAATTTTGTCTTTATTACCTAGATGGTAAGGTGATTTTTGTTTGTTTGTTTTACTATAACTTACGTGTTGATTGGTTGTATCTGCTTCTTCTGTTAATTTAGAAGTAGAGTTAATCAGCAAATACTTTTTGATTATTAGAAACTTGGCAAGTAAGATTATTGACAAGGATCATAAATGGAATCAATTAGATACATACGGAACAATTAATGACTAAAACTATATATAGTAAACGTTAAGGAGCCCTGATAACACAACGGTTAAGTGCTCAGCCGCTAATTGAAACATTGACGGTTTTCAAACCTTCCAGTGGCTTCATGGGAGAAAGACCTGACGATCTTCTACTGTAGAGTTTACGGCTGAGAAACGTGATGGGCAGTTCTCTCTCACATGGGGTTACTGTGAGTCAGAATCAATTCAGAAGCACCTAACGACAGTGTTGGTGATTGTTCCAAGTTGACTGCGTCTGATAGCCACCCACTATACAACAGAATGAAACACTGCAACATTGGTACAGTTGTTGCTTTACTTGAGCCCGTTGTTATAGCCACAATGTCAATCCATCTTGTTAAGGATCTTCCTCTTTTTTCACTGACCTTCTACTTTCTGCCGAGAATGATGGCCTTCTCCAGTGGGTAGTCCCTTCTGATAACATATCCAGACTATAGGAAACAAACTCTCGCCCTCCTTGGTTCTGAGGAGCATTCTGGCTATACTTCTTCCAGGACGGATTTGTTCATTCTTCATGGTATATTCAGTATTCTTCGCTGACACCATAATTCAGATGCATCAATTTTTCTTTGGTCTTCCTTACTCATTGTCCAACTTTTGCACGCATATGAGACAAAATTGAAAAAACCATGGCTTGATTCACACCCACATTATTCTTTAAAGTGACATTTTTGGTTGTTAACACTTTAAAGAGGTCTTTTGCAGCAGATTTGCCCAATGTAATATATCATTTGATTGCTTGACTGCTGCTTCAATGGACATTGATTATGGATCCAAATAAAATGAAATTCTTGACAACTTTAGTCTTTCTTCCATTTGTCATGATGTTGCTTATTGGGCAAGTTGTGAGGATTTTTGTTTTCTTTATGTTGAGGTGTAATCCATACTGAAGACTGTACTCTTTGATCATCATCAAGTCTTCTTCACTTTTAGCAAGTAAGGTTGTATATTGTGAGTTGTTAATGAGTCTTCCTTCAGTCCTGATGCCACATTCTTCATATAGTCCTGCTTCTTAGATTATTTACTCAGCATAGAGATTGAACAAGTATGGTGAAAAGATACAACCCTGATGCACACTCTTCCTGATTTTGAACTGTACAGTATCCTCTTGTACTGTTCAAATGACTACCCTCTTGGTCTGTGTTGACTACCCTCTTGGTCTATCTATGTATAGGTTCTTCATGAGCACAATTAAGTGTTTTGGAATTACCATTTTTTGCAGTGTTAGCCATAATTTGTTATGATCCACACAGTCAAATGCCTTTGCATAGTCAATAAAACACAGGTAAATATCTTTCTGATATTCTTTGCTTTCAGCCAAGGTCCATCTCACATCAGCAGAGATATCCCTTGTTCCACATCCTCATCTGAATCCAGCCTGATTTTCTGGTAGTTCATTGTTGATATACTACTGCAACCATTTTAAAATTACCTTTAGCAAAACTTTACTTGCATGTGATATTAATGATACTTTTCACTAATTTTGGCGGCAGCCGGCAGCTCTGGTAGCATAGCGCCTAAGGCACTTGACTGCTAACCAGAAGGCTGGCAGTTCAAACCCACCAGCCACTTATCAGAAGGAAGATTGGGGCAATCTACTTCCGTAGTGATACTGCCTCAGAAACCCAAGAAGGAGTCACTATGAGTCAGGTCCGACTCGACGGTACATAACAACAATTTTGGCATTCTGTTGGATCATCTGTCTTTGGAATGGGCACAGACATGGATCTCTTCCAGTCACTTGGCTAGGTAGCTGTCTCCCAAATTTCTTGGCATAGATGAGTGAGCACTTCCAGTGTTGGATCAGGTTGTTAAATATCTCAACAGATACTCTGTCGGTTCCTCGAGCCTTGTTTTTCACCAGTGCCTTCAGTGCAGCTTGGACTTCTTCCTTCAGTACCATCAGTTCTTGATCATGTGCTGCCTCTTGAAATGGTTGAACATCAATTCTTTTTGGTATAGTGATTCTGTATGTTCCTGCCATCTTCTTTTGATACTTCCTGTGTCATACTGTATTTTGCCCATAGACTCCTTCAGTATTGCAACTCACAGCTTGAATTTTTCCTTCAGTTCTTTCAGCTTGAGAAATTCTGAAGGTATTCTTCCCTTTAATTTTCTAACTCAAGGTCTTGTTGTTGTTGTTAAGTGCCGTCAAGTCGTTTCCAACTCAAAGCGACCCCATGCACAGCAGAACGAAACACTGCCCATAATCCCACGCCAGCCCCACAATCCCCGCTATACTTGATCCCATCATCGCAGCCACCGTATCAATCCATCTCGTTGAAGGCCTCCCCCTCTTTCATCGACCCTCC